CTAAGCAAGATTTCTTTTGAAATGCATTTTTTTGGGAATTCAAAAGCAAAAAAAAAATAAATTGCATTTATGAAACGCCATACAAAAGAAGACGACAGCGATGCACTCAATAACACGAAAACAAGCACAAAATCGTGCAAAAACCTACAACCGCAATTAAAAGCGACCCCAAAAACCATACCAAAAATAATCGCTCATATATACCTACAAACATATGCACACGGGTTGCATATGTATTTAATTATCATGCAGCACTGACTGCATTTTGCTCCGACGAGACAAGAATAACATTTTTATATCTGTTTTTTGGTATGAATTCCTCTTTCCGGCGATAATGAATTTCTTGTCCATCAGCTGCGTTGGTTTAACTTGAAGGGATCTTTTTTTTGGTTGGTTGATCAGCTTTTCTGCTGTGTAGCTACTCAATAATGAATTGATATTGAATATCACTTCGATTTCGAGTGATCCATAAAATGCATGCATGGCAGGATTTAAGTGCATGCAAATGTTGCTCATAAAACTGCCAAACATTGCAGTTTTGTATCAAGGTTTTGGAATTTCCAAAAAACCGAAATTTTTTTTCCACATTTACCACAAACGTTACTATGGTTTTTTTCGAGAAAAAAATATGTGCTCATTGAAAACATTGTAAATGGTTGTAAAATTGTAAATAAGCAGAGCAGATTCTTAAACACACTGCACAAAAATAAAAAGATATCCTTAAAGGGGTCTTCCAAAGATGGAAAAGCATTAGGAGAACCTTTATAGATAAAAGACTTTCAAAGAGGTATTTATCAATGGTAGACCTTCAATAGGACTTCAATCAATAAAGGACCTCAGGGAGATTCTCAAAAGGCTTTCCATAGATAGAAGCTCCTAGAGATAGAATAAGTCTTAAATAAATAGATGCCAGGCAAGTTGTCTTCTGTAGAGAGCATCCCTTCAAGAGATATATTTTATAGACAGCAAACATTCCAGGGACCTTCTTTTAAAAGGAACCCTTCACTAGATTTTCTTTTAATAAATATAGAACTATCCAGAGTTCTTCAATGGAAGAATGGATGGAAGGCCTTCAGAGATGTTTAAAAGATAGAAGGACCTCAAAATGTCTTAAAAAAGGGGCCTCAGAACGACTTCTATAGGCAGAAGGCTCTCAACAGGATTTCAGGATCCCTGAGGAAGACTTTTATAGATAGCCTTTTATAGATAGAACAAGTAAAAAAGCTGTACAATTCTCAAACACAATAAAATCCGTTAAAAATTCTGTAAAAATCTTAGAAAAACCGAATGTAGCTCTTATATTAGGGTCAATAAGACGACATGGACCTGCCTAGGTAACTTTTGTCATAAGCCATTACAATATTCAAATGCGTAACTTAGAAAAAAATCGGTGAATAATGTAGCTAAAGTCATCAAAATACCGAATATAGTTAGGTACCATGGGGGTTATAAAACGTGGACCTGTACAGACAATTTTCTGTCTAAGGCTGAAGTATTCATTGCGAACTTCAAATACGACATCTGAAACAATTTCGGTGGGTATCGTACCTAAAATCGTCAAAATACCGAATATCCGGAGATACCGTTAAATGGGGGCTATACGAAGACGTGGACCTGCACAGACAATTTTCTCTCTTAGGCTGTAGTATTCATTGTGAACTTCAAATAAAAAATTTGAAACAATTCCGGTGAATAATTTCGCTAAAATCATCAACATACCGAATATCGGGAGGTACCGTTATATGGGGGCTATACGAAGACGTGGACCTACATGGCCTATTGTCTGTCTTATGCTGTTGTATCCATTACGAATTTCAAATGCCAAATTTAAAACAATTCCGGCAAATAATGTCGTTAAAATCATCAAAATACCGAATATCGGGAGGTACCATTAAATGGGAGCTATACGAAGATGTGGACCTGCACAGACAATCTCCTGTCATAGGCTGTAGCGTCCATTACAAACATCAAATACCAAACTTGAAACAATTAAGGTGAATAATGTCGCAAAAATCATCAAAAGACCGAATAACGGGAGGTATCGGGGCTATACCAAAACGTGGACCTACATGGCCCATTTTCAATACCAAAAGTCCTGCAGACATAATATACATTTGAGTAAAAAGTTATCAATCTACTTCAATTCGTGAGTGATGAGAGAGAGTGAGAGCTAGAGTGATTTCCACAGACGGACAGACAGACGGGCATCGCTAAATCGACATAGAATTTTATGCTGATCAAGAATATATATAGAATATATATGGGGTCTATAATCTATATTTCGAGGTATTACCGACGATTTTTAAGAATATTTTCGAGACTTTAGAAGCGGGTTTCTAGGAATATCTTAGATTTTTACGAAAAATGTTGAGACTCACTAATCAACCACTGATTGCACCAATAAAATTTTGTCAAAAATCTTCAAAAGAAAACCTCTTTCAAAAATCCACAGTTTTTTTTAATATTATCAAAAGCTTTAAATATCCACAAGTTTCTTTTAAAAAACTTAATGATGGGCCCTAAAAAATATTCTCAAAAAATCACAGATAGTCTCAAAAATGTATTTTTGAAAAAAACATCCAAAAATATTTTCAAAAATTTGCTCAAAAATCTATAAATAGTGTCTTCAAATGAAAATCTTGTTAATCTCTGATGTAGTGCATCCGAAACGTCATTGTCATCCGAACATCCGAACGTTGAAGATCATCATTTCAACCCAAGCCGGTAGATGCAGACAATCGTCAGCAACAGCAGGCGTTTGTTTTGTGTCAACAATATTTACATTGGCATGCAAATAAACAAGTTAAACGCCTTCAAAATTAACGCAACAACAACGGCAACACCACGAACAAAAAAAGTTACGACGAGATGGATACCTGCTTCTGATCAGATTTAAGAGATACCCGCTTTATAACCAAACAGTAGTCGAACATGTTGTCGTAACTCATATGCCACGAGATATGGATAGCGATGTGCACGTACGAGAGTCGAGCTGGGCGAATGACGAGGGCGAAATTTGATTGAAGAAACCCCGTTGTTGTCGTCATTGTGAATTATTGCACTTCTGTGACGGATAGCTGTCAGCAAAGGTGCCAGATTGCTTAACAGAAAAATATATTCTCTCTTGGTTTTCAGAAATGCAATAGTCATGGTGAGGTAGTGAGTGAGTGATGTCGATAATTGTAAGACTCACTTTTTGACGGCATTGGGAAATATTTTGGGGAAAATTTTAAATATTTTGTGAGGAGTTCAAAATTAAGTTTGACCATTATTTTGCCCTCCGCAGTATCAACAAAATATGATATAAGAAATCTGAAATATAGTAGTTGGTCCAATAATAATAACTTTGGATATATCTATAAATATGATCGGAAAAATAATAAAAGGCATGTTTACATATATAGGGTGAGATGAAAAAACTGCAACCAACTTCAGACTGCTGTCATTTCTAAGGTACTCTTCCGACAGCTTTTAAAATAATCCAGTGACAGCTCATTATATTGAATACAAGTCTACAAAAGCATTTTGGTGAGAATTTTCCAGAAAAAAAGTTATTTGTGATGGAATTCAAGCGTAATAGTGTAATTTCTTTATATTTGGCTGGAAAACCACAAGTGGCTATCGTTAAAGCACTCCAGCATTTAAATGTGAAAAAATCTTATGTGTCTCTTACCATCGCTCGTTACCGTGATACTAGTAGCGTAGCCCGACTTCCGAAGGAAGTGGACGGAAGAAAACAGCAACATCAGCAGAAATGGTTCGAAAAGTAAAGAAGCTACTTGATCGAAACCCGCGTCGCAGTGGGCGAAAAATGGCTCGTGAGCTGAACATATCGCATTATTCCATTCGGCAAATATTAAAAAATGAGCTTGGGGTAAAGCCATTAAAATTACAAAAAGTGCAAGAACTTACACCGCAACAGAAAGAAAATAGACTCAAAAGAGCTAAAGAGTTGCTTCGCTTGGCCGAAAGTGGTGAACTGCCGAATTCAGTTTTCTCCGTTTCCGATGAGAAAACATTCGTTGTCCAGCTGTTTGTAAACAAACAAAATGATCGTGTTTACTTGCCAAAGAGGTCAGCTGATAATGTGCACCTTCGGTTGGCCACTAGAACACAAGCGCCGGCCATGGTGATAGTGTGGGCCACAATAACCGTGGCATCAAATAAATGCCGAATTTATTGCGAAAATATTCTGAAGGGTGTATTAAAGCCTTGGGCACGCAAACATTTTGGCCGCAGACCTTGGACATTCCAACAGGACTCAGCACCATCGCACTCAATACGCGTCACCCAAGAATTATTACAAAATGAGGTTCCTCGCTTCATTTCCAGCGCACAATGGCAACCACAAATCTCCGGGTACCAATCCGTTGGACTATTGAGTTTGGAGTATTTTGGAAAGCAAGGTTGGCTCTAAATATACCAAAGTGTCGATCACCTCAAGCAAGCGCTTCCCCGAGAATGGGCCAAAATACCGCAGAGCAACATTCGGGCAGCGTGTGATGGTAAAATTGGCCGTTTTTAAGCCATAATTCGTGCCAAAGGTGACCAATTCGAACAAATCTAAACTTATTCTAAAGTTTGATGCTATTTTCGACTTCATTCTGGCGTTTGATTTTGTTGCAGCTTTTGTATCTCACCCTGTACATTGAAAAAAAAATTACTAATTTCATTTACGTTTTTCCAAATTTAATTTTTTTATTTTGACAAAAATCTGGAGAATAATTGAGTTTTTCCTTCACAATTGCTCTATTCCAGAACCTGCAGGAATCTACTATTTTTGCCATTTTCTTCGATATCATAGAGGGAATATCGGTTATCATAGTAAACTATTTGACTACTACCCTATATCTATAGTCACTTTTAGACCCTTCACTACGAACAATTATTACGCATGACAAATATTGTCTCACGTTTGTTTCTTAAGTCTTTTGTTTTGTCCGCCATCATAAATATAAACGTTAAAAATTTCCCTCCTACTTTCCTCTCTCTCTTTTCAGATGGTTCACACAAATCAACAATGCCTACCGTTACACCAATTCAAGGACCAATTTACCTGAAAAATGGTACCGTGCCCGTTGTGCCATTATTCCATTATCCCACATTCAATAATGGTTCATTTGTCCAGATACCAGTAAGTATGAAAACGAAAAAAAAAAAACAGAAAAAATACAAAAAAAATGAAAACATTGACAACCACCATTTATTATTATATTTTTTGTTAAAAAAACAATAATACATGATTAATGATGATGGAAAAAGTAGTTCACACACAGTGTGCATAACCATGGAGTTATGACTTCATTTTTTTTTTTGGCAATCATTACATGAATCAGAAATCCACTTGCAGTACTAGATAAGCAGCTAATGAGGGATTTCATTTTGTGATTCATCGATCATGTATTGTATCATTTCTGGAGAATTTTGGAAATCTACTTGGAATATTGTTTTGTTTTATAAAAATTATCCTTGTCCTTTGTAATAATACATGATACGAATGTTGATATGATTCAATATTCATTCCATTTACCTTTATGATTGCAATATTAATTTATTTAATATTTTTTGGGTATACGCATTTGTAAGCAGTAAATGTGAAGGTTTTTTTTTTATTGTGATTTTGGATGTCAAAACATGTAATTATTACAGGGTCTGATTACTTTCAAGTAAAAAAAAAATTGAGAGGAATGCGCTTATAAGTATGATTAACAGTAGGGAAAATGAGGATAATATTTCACATAAGTCCTCTTAATAGAATAAGAGTATTTAAAATATACGTAAAGCAATTCATTTATAGATCAGATGGTTAGGAAAATACTCTTCGTAATAGAATTCCTGCCAAGAAATAGTTTTAAGATTTCTAAAATATTGCAAAAAAAATATATATCCATTGAAAGACCCTAAAAATATTCTTTAAAATGCACAGATTGACTCAAAACCTCACTGAGAGCACCTCTATATATAAAATATTAACTAAAAACTTCAAAAAATCCCTCCACAGATGATTTCTTCAAAAATATTCTCTGAAATCCACAAATATATCCTGATGGCTTCCATCAAAATATGTTGAAAATCCTCAAAAGTGTCCCCAGAAACATTATAATCCAAACAAGTAAAAAAAGTTATAAATCTCGTCGGGTCAAACCCTCCACCATTTGGAAGGAATTTGGAAATTTTCAAAAAAATAAAATCCATTAAAAATTCTGTTAAAATCTTAAAAATACCGAATGTAGCCGTTATATTACTGACTATAGGACGACCTGGATCTGCATTGTCAACTTTTGTCATAAGCCATTACAATATTTAAATGAGAAATTTGAAAAAAAAAATCGGTGAATAATGTTGCTAAAATCATCAAAATACCGAATATAGGGAGGTACCACTCTATGGAGCTATGCCAAAACGTGGACTAACACAGCCAACTTAGGCTGTAGTATCCATTACGAACTTCAAATACCAAATTTGAAAAAATTCCGGTGAAAAATGTCGCTAAAATCATCAAAATACCGAATATAGGGAGGTACCATTCTATGGAGCTATGCCAAAACGTGACCTACATGACCCATTTTCAATACCAAAAGTCCTGCAGACATAATATACATTTGAGTAAAATTTTATCAATCTACTTCAATTCGTTCGGAAGCTAGAGTGATTTCCACAGACAGACTGACGGACGGTCAATCCTAAATCGACAGAGAATATATGCTGATCAAGAATATATATACTTTGTGGGGTCTAAAATGTATATTTCGAGGTGTTACAAACGGAATGACAAATTTTTATACCCTCCACCATAGTATTGAGGGTATATAAAGTGGACTATCTAAAAGACAATTTCGTCACAGAACTTCCAGGAATTTACTGCGCTGAAAATAAGCTATTTATTTTTTAGAAATTCTTCTTTAAAAAAATCCTTCTTTAAAAACGCCTAATCTGTGTGTCTTAACTGTGTAACTTTGGCAATCGATTGTATATTTAATTTTGGGCATGAATGGAATGGACGAATAGAATAACCGACCTTGCTCACATTTTGAAATCCTTATAATAAACAATTGGATTGGGCCAAGAACACAAAAATTTCCTCACTCAAGATCTTTCAAAACTAAAACAACAGAACTGCGGCCTATACTGAGTCTGCTAGTCTACAATATTTCTAAGAAAAATTAGTTTGCAACTCGGATGTTGACTTTTAACTCTTTCAAAAATCCTCAGATGGTGACTTGAAAACTATTCACTAAATATATTCTAAAAAAACAAATAAATTGTTTCACTCAAAAGCTGATGTTTTCTTTTGTAATATTCTGACAACTTCAAAAATGCCCACATGGTGACCTCAAACATTTTATAAAAAAGGATCTTTTAAAAAAGTTAAAAAGTTCCGTTTTGGCGATAGGTTTGTAGCCCTAAGTCTATTTATAAAAAATATATTTTGACTTTCATTATGATTATTCAAAATTTTGATCCTCTTTTGGGATGCTACCGAAGGAGTTGGTCAATATTTTCTATATTGCAGCTGATGACTCCGACATATCGGTTTTGGACTATTTCAACTTTATTTGAGATATTTGTATATTTGTTGGAAAATTTTGATCTTTATTGGAAGAAAAATCCCATATTTACATCAGATCTCGAGATCAGTGAAACATTGAGATATACTTAGTTGAACTGTTTTGCTTCTTATGAGCTTTAAATTTATTCAAAATGTTGATCTTATGTAGGGGAGGTGCCGGAAGAAGTAGTCTGCTATATCCCATCTTCATACAATATGTTGTTTTTGTAGATGTATTTAAATGTGCGAAGCTTGAAACGAATCGGATTCTTATTTCATTTTTTTTAAGAGCTATAATTGTTGCAAATTTTGACTGTTTGTGGGGAAGGTACCTGGGAGGTAAGGAGTGGGAGCTATTGCCCATATCTTTTCTCCATCTAAGTTTGATTACCAAGTTTGGACCAAATCGACAGACTTATCGTCCACACCAGCCTGACAGATTGATGAACGCCGCTAGATCGACTCCAGATTTATTAAGGTCTAAACCCGAAACGTTAATGAGGTACGCTTTGGCTGTATCAAATGGTATATGTATAACCCTGTAGCCATATGAAACCAGTAAGTATACGTCGAAAGTCGGGCGGAGCAGACTATATGACACCCTATTAGGTAGAGTTCCCATAAAAAAATAATTTATTTGCAGTAGATCATACCACCTATCAACATTTGACTTCAGAGCAGTTATAGTTTGATTTCAGAGGGTACTAATATATGGGAGGCACATCCAATTCTGAATCGATTTTCACTAAATTTGACGGAGAAATTTTAATCTTTTATACCAAATGATATTCATATAGACTGCATAGTATCACTTCGAGAAGGATTATATTAAAAACATTTATATCGGAGCCGAGTTCCACAAAATGGAAACGTACATCCCTAAATCCACTCCATTAGGGCTGATATTATTATTTGCACAATAAACCTGAAATCGGATTAGGAATATTTATGGGAGCTATGTCCAAATTTTAGCTGTTCTCGATAAAATTAGGCAAAGGTATTTCCGAGCTCTATAAGATATCTGGTACCAAATATCATAGTTGTCGAATGCATATTACAAATGTGAGGGACTTAAACACCGAATCGGATGAAACATATATATGGGAGCTATAGCTATATCTGAATCGATTTTCTTCAAATTTGATATACTTGCTTCTAGACTATATTCGGTCGATTGTACCAAATTTAGGACTTTTTGACAGATATTAGCCATTTGGTGTACATTTAACCCGAAATCGGTTGAAGATACAGGGTTGTCCGACGGGCCCATCTGGCAGCGCCATAACTTTTGATAGAGATGTCACATCGCTTAATGACATACCGCGTTTGAAGCGTCAGTCCAAGCAGATTTTTACACGCCACGCGAGCGCTCTGAAATAGTTGAAATTTACATTCAACAGAAGAAGTCAATTGTGAAAACTCAACGTGCTTTTAAAACATTAAAAAATGTGAAAAGTGCGCCTTCTAAGAACACCATTAAGCGTTTATACGAAAAATTTTCGACTGGTAAGGCTCTTTCTAATCCGAAGAGGCCATATAAAAGTCGAACAAGGCGATCGGCCGAGAATATCGCTGCCGTACGAGCCAGTGTTGAGAGGTCCCCAAGAACATCGCAAAAACGCAGTTCTCAGCAATTGGGCATGGATCGGTCCACTTTACAACGGATTATTCGCATTGATTTGCATTTGTTCCCGTACAAAATTCAATTGACGCAAAGAAAGTTGCCTGCGGACAAGCCTTGTCGATTGGAATGGGCCCAAAGAACCGGGACCCAAATATGGACCGATTGTCACCAATTTCAATATAGGTTGTCCTTGGGCCAAAGAAATATTGTTTGCAAAATTTAATCTCAATCGTGGACTGACGGGCTGACAAGCATAAATCGACTCATGAAGTGATTTTATGAAGATCCTCAAAAGTAAGTATGGGTCTTTCTCGCTTCCTTCTCCATGATACAAACAAATGCACAAAGACATAATATCGTTAACACTATGTGGTGTAGGGTATAAATAGCTAATTGAATATCTAATTAAAATTTATAAAAAAGAATGAATAAGACATAAATTCGTAGATTAAAATATTTATGTTATATTTAATTTTCTTCAATTTTTGGACCTTCTAAACATATTTTGTAAAATCCACGGACCGAGTCTCGAGAAAAAAAATGCTTAAAAATCATGAGTATGACTATTTTCCATATTTTTCCTATATTTACGATTTTGAATATCTGTTGGGCTTCAACTGAGCAGAAACGGGTTAACAAAGTTCGTTAGCCCGGGTAGCTCAGTCGGTAGAGCATTGGACTTTTAATCCAAGGGTCCAGGGTTCAAGTCCCTGCTCGGGCGGTAAATTTTTTGAAAACACACATTTTATTAAAAAAAAAACAAATTTACTGCTTAGCAACAAAGCGCTTGTAGTATTTAAATCTTGAATTTATTTGAAGCATTGAATGGACTTTCAGCTTCTTTTACACGTAGCTGTTTTCCGAACCACAAGGGTGATTGATAATTTTAATATGTGGTTACTTGTTTTAAAAAATCGAATTGCATCGGCCGGGAATCGAACCCGGGCCGCCCGCGTGGCAG